TAAACACACACACACACTCTCTCACACACACACACACACACACACACACACACACGCACGCACACACACACACACACACACACTTACGCACACACTCACGCTCACGCTCACACACACACACACACGCTCACGCACATGCTCACGCACACGCTCACGCTCACACACACACACTCACACTCACACTCACACTCACACACACAAACACACACACACACACACGGCAGGAGTCCCGACTGTGACTACAATGGTCACATTTGCAAAACTCTTAAAATCTGGCAACAGGTAACAGCTAGGGTTGGGAATCAAAAAATTAATTCCAATTCCAGAATCGAATACTTAAGGTCAGGAATCGGATACTTGTTGCAAAATTAAAATTCCACTCATTAATTCCTGTGTGCGCATCTTTTATTTTTAGCTGGAGAAAAAGAGCTGTTAAAAATGTATTTGTCTTTGAATCATTCATTCAAGAGATTCATTCAAAAACACTGATTCATCCAGTAATGAAACGAGTGAATCTTGAGTGAGTCATTGAATCATTCATTCATTAGTTCCATCAGATTTTGTTTAGTTGTCTAATATTGTTTCTTCAGAATTGTGAGAGAACTACAACCTCCATTAAAAACAAGTCTCAATTTATCCAGAATCGTGCCGCTCTATATTACACACAAACAGCTCTTAATCGAGTCAGTTTTTATGCAGCCGGCTGATTTGTGTTCATGGTGTTCAGCAGCAACTAAATGTTTTGACACAAAATAAATATGTTTGATATCTAAATGTTTGACTTCATTTTTGTTTAACCCCATTGGAATCGAAACTGGGAATCGATAAGAATCGGAATCAGAATTGATCAAATTCTAACAATCCCCAACCCTAGTAACAGCTCTTCATCTGATCAGGAGTTAGTTAATGATGACCTCAGAGCGTGTTCCAGTGTTTCCTACAGCGCTACTCAGCATCATTCTGTATATCTTAATGATATTTGTGTATTTTACTTTCATTTTATTACATTTAGTACCCCCCAAGTAAATAAAACGCGAATCACTATCACACCCTGAGCACATGTGAGCTCTTCGTCTTATCGGCAAGACATATCGGTATAACTTATTTCAAATCGGCCGATATTTACATATGAAGCCTTTATCGGATGAATCCGATAACGTTCCTATAATATTGTGCATCCCTAAAAATAACCAGTATGAATACAGTGATAACCAGCGTGAAATACTTCACTTTAAATCAATACATCGTCTGGAATAATTTCCACTGCTGAGATTGAGCGGAAACACTGGCACACGTCTTTACAATGTATAATTGAGCAATTCTGTCATTTTGTAACTATGTAACGTCATTTGGCGCTGTCAGTTTAGGAGTTTGTTTGCTTAGTCGGGATCCCCGGCACACTCAAGAAAGACGACTAGAGTGATCAGTAACCAGCTAACTGTGACGAACACACACAAACACAAACGCCGGTGATGATGAACTCCAGAATGGAAGAGAGAAATTAGTGTTTTCCAGACACGGACGGGGAGAGATGGGATGAGGTGAGAGAGATTGAGTACCGTGGGTATCAGGTCTGCCGTAGGGCCGCACTTCCCTAAGGTAGAATTGGAATGTTTTACGAAGGGCGTGGAGGTCTACAGGAAGGAAGTAAAGCTACAGTCACTGACAGACACAGCAGAGACCATCACAGACCGGAGGCGTTTTCAGACCTGCACATCAACCGCTTTTTTCCAAAACAGGGACGTGAACCGTTGGATTTTCTTCTTGGTTTGGTTTGCTTTGACAAAACAACATTCAAAAGCATACTAAAATTATGCTTTCTTGTAATACACCATAGCATTTTGAGGATGAAGACGTGCTTTGGATTTCAACTGCGATATCTAATCAGAATCGACACATTTCCCATTACGAATTATGATCCAGATGATTGGTTCGTTGTTCCGTTGGGTTGAATTGCTTTCTCAGAACAACAAACCAGTCCAACGTTTGCTTTCAATCGGGCTGAGTCTGCATTTACACTGGCACAAAAAAATCTGATTTTTTGCTCACATCTGACACAGATAGGAACTTGTTGCATGTGTGTAAACACAAAAATCTGCACGAGATCCGATTTGTTCGCATCCGATCTGTGCCACTTCCAAATTTGGAATTTAATCGGATACATATCCGATATCTGGACATCCAACCGATGTCTAAACACACATATCTGATATCCGAACTCCTAATGAGAGGGTGACGTGTTTGCCCAAAAAGATACAATGCCGGCGTGCTGTAAATGCGCTTGCATTTTATTGAGGTGGAAACTGCGCAATATTCAGGAGCTGGTGTTCAACCCCTGCACCGTGAATTTGATAAACAGTATAGCTTCGCTACTAAAACCTATTATATTTCTCAGCAATGAGGTGATAACTTGAGAATTAGGCTACTACTCTCTCATTCTCTCGTTAATTCATTAAAATTAATAAATACAATCTTACAGCACTACTTTATTTCACTTCAGAATTCTACATCTAACCAGCTGTAGATATAATCGTCCACTTGACGTGAATTATAAAAATAATTATAATAGCACAGCCAATCACTGATGGGCAGGAATTAGTGTAAACCCAGATATCGGACACCAGTTGTGTAGAAAGTGAATGTAATCAGGAGCATATGGTCAAAAGATGGGATCTGTGCATTAAGACTTGCAGTGTAAATGCAGCCTCATTCAGATCTCAACAAACTGTTTCGGTGCGGATCCAAGCATGCTGGCTGTGTTCATAAATGCCTAAACAAACCAAACTAAGAGAGAAAATACACTAGGCTCCAAAACAAACACTGGCCAGGTGTGAAAACGCCCATCGGTATCTTCAGTACTGCTTTCACCTGGCATTAACATACATCTCAAAGGCTTCTCCTGTGACATCTCATTTCCAAAATAACCCTCAAAGTTTAAAGCCCTTCTGTTAGGGCAATGCATTTTGCTGTTGTCTGGGTGGTATTTGTGTTTGTGCTACAAACAGCTGGCATCTAGGTATGGAAACAACAGTGAGCGACTGAAGGACATAAGCCCGGTCCTCTGGAGAGACGCTGGAGGATAAACAAGAGTCCTCACCTTCCTCTCCAGAGCGTCGGGTGAATCAGAGATGAAGCTGATGTTGACCTCCTCCACGTCAGAGCTGCTGGACCCCGCGGACGTCACGCTGAGAGAGTCGCCGCCGTCGCCTGCCGAGCCGCTCAAACCCGGCGGGAAACGCAGCTGATCGAAGGACTTGGAGTGAGAGCTTCCAGAGCCGCTACATCCGGCTTCCCCCGAACCCACGGGCTGCCGACTGAGAGACAGACACCATAAACTAGGGCTGCCACCGTTCCTCCATTCTCTTCCAGTACTCAATCCTCGACTGCATTTAGCCTGTGTCGAGTAACCGGCAAAATACCGGAAGTGGTGCATTCCACGGACGAGAACCCATGAAACACAATGTTAGACCGTTTTACAAGGCTGCATGATATATTAAACCCATTTAAAAATCATAAGAAAGCATATTGCTGTTGTGAATTCGCAAACGCTATGATTCAATTAAATAAATATATGCGATGCAGGTTTAATACGTGCGCTTTAATTATTTACAGTCCAACCAAAAATCATTCAGACACCAGATATAATTTTTGATATGTTTTTACTAGTGGGTGCAGGACACTACAGTTCATTTATGTAAGTGAGGATAGCAAAATATAGTAAACTGTGACATATTATACCCAAAAATTCTTCATACAGTGGACTACCAGTAAAATTTGGGATCAGAAACTATTCAATCACTTTGAGCTGAGCATGTTTTGCTGAAGTGTTTTTCTTTAATTGCTAATGTGATCTTTTACACCACAGACTGAACAGAATGAAGCACTGCTTGGTAATTAGTTGAGCTAAATTGGTTTTATCTGATTGTGTATTAAATTTAACAGCTGACAGCTATTCAACCCATTTCATTACATACCTTTCTATCAAAGTTATCTGACATTATCAAGATGAGTTTGTTCTAACACACTTTAACTCTGAGTTCACATTTTATTACCATTTTCTAAACTATAGCGAATAAACTGTGATAATGTGAGAAATGTTGAAGGTGTCTGAGTAAAGTTTGGTTTGACTGTACATGTGTATATGTTATGTACGTGTGTGTCAGAGCGGCTCTGTTCACAGTAAACGCTGCTCCGCACAAACTGTTATCTTTTACACGTGTGGAGCGTCTCAAACTCATCTCTGCATGCTGTTGTGAGTTTGGGTTTATTATAACGTTCATCTGAGAACGCAACGTGCGCCATTTCCTCAGATTTGTGAGGTAAATCATTTATAAATCTACGTAAAAACAGGAGGATACATCTATATATATATTTTTTTTTGCTAACATTTCAAAATAAAAGTTTAAAACCTCGCTGAGTTTACTCATTTTTATGTCCACATATCCTACAGTAGCTGTAGCATTTCTGTCGTGAAGAAATGGCCAAATAATAAAGATTAAGTGTACATTTTAATTAAATGTTGTTTAGTCAATATTAAACAAGGATTAGATCGCGCAGTAAAGTGTAAAAACAATTGTCAGGCCGTTCTGCAGTCATTTGTTATAATGTGTAATGTACGTTAACTCTATTGTTCATAATACATTATGTATTTTAAGTTTAGTTCAATAAAACCATGATTACCTGCTTTCGATACTTTATTTTAACTAATTATTACCTCAATACTATTATATATGTATATGTTTTTATTACCACAAAAAAATTAACTATAATTACTCGATTAATCGACAGAATAATCGACAGATTGCTTGAGTACCCAAATAATTGTTAGCAGCAGCCCTAATAATACACTCCAGCTCCACAACAAGACATCAATGGTTATCATATGAAGGAATATTTCCAACATTTCTCACTGAGCTTGTTCCAATGCATTCTGGGATTGCCTTCCCCCCCATGGAAGATACATGCGATGCTACCTTACAGTTTGGCCTAAATAAGGAGTCTGGTCAGGCAGCAGAATTCATGACGACTGAAACTAGTGTGGATGTGGTGGTCAGCACTCACTCGCTCCATCTCTTCATGATTCCTGAGCTCTTCTTGGCTCTCAGCGTGTTGGAGGCCGATTCAGAGAGTGGCTCGATCTCACACGACTGACTGTAGCTGCAGGAAACCCAGAACAGCATTCAGGAGTGTGTGAGTGTGTGTGTGTGTGTGTGTGAGAGTGAGTGTGTGTGTGTTTAATTCTGCACATCTAAACCCATGCTGATGTCTCACCTCTCGGCCTCCGAGAGCTTCTCCACGCCGGAGAGCCACGCACTGAACCCCGCCACACGCCGGAAATTATAATTGTTACACGCCAGCTGTAACAACTTAATCTGAGCGATGACCTCAAACTCCTACAGGGGGAGACAGAGATCATTAAAGAGATAGTTCACCCAAAAATGAAAATTCTGTCATTAATTTACTCACCATCATGTCGTTCCAAACCCATAAGACCTTCGTTCATCTTCAGAACACAAATTAAGATATTTTTGATGAATTACAAGAGCTCTCTGATCCTCTCATAGACAGCAAGCATCCTAACACCATCAAGGCTCAGAAATGTAGTAAAGACATCGTTAAAATAATCCATGTGACATCAGTGGTTCAATTGTAATTTTACGAAGCTACGAGAATACTTTTTATGTGCAAAGAAAACAAAAATAAATGTTTTTTTCAACAATTCGTCTCCTCCGCATCACCCTGTAGCGCCATTCTGGAGAGTATCACATACATAAACAACATATGCAACGTATGTACGTGAATGCGTTGTTTACGTTCAGATCAACGCATAAACAACATAAACAGCGTATCCGCGAACAGTGCTACTGACACAGAACAGCATA